TTTCTGGACATTTATGGTTTGATTTCTTTGTATGTATGGATCACTTGGGTTGTTACCAACATCTGGTGAAAATTTCATGTCATTAGCACCTCTAGTAATATATTTACTGAGACAAATGTTGACGTGTTCAATACTTATTTTACCCGCTGTATCTCTACAGATCAGTGCTTCAGATCTTATTCATACACTGATGGGACACATCAGAGGCAGTGGGTTCAGTGTTTGCAGGGACACTTCAATGACTGCATAGCGATGGAATCGAACCGTCAACTCTCTCATTGGAGGGCGACCCCTATCCAGTCAACCACAGCTGCCCCAACTGAAGAGAAAAAGACTTGCACTGCAAGACTGAAGATTTCCACATYTGATGAAGCCACTATATGCCTTTTTACACAGAAGAAATCTGRAAGAGGAACTCACTCTAGACTAAAATAATGACAAAGTTAGTACTGAATAATGTTTTTGAAATAATAGCGTCTGAATTCAGATTAGAGAGTGAATATTGCTAAASAAGTTCTACWAGCTGCAWRYTCTGAGCACAAACTCAAATAATATGCGTTCTGTTCGTTTTTGTTTATATGGTGGTTCAGTCGTMTTCTCCATCACGCCATCCAGGCAATAAACTTCSGTGAAAGTAACAAACCAGAAGAAACCKTAACACGTTAAAGAGATGGTTATCTTGATATAACAAGATAGTTTTCTCYTTTTTACAAGATAGTTTTCTTTACAARYAGATATTTTTGTRGTTATAACGACATATTTTCTCTTTATAACYAGATAGTRTTCTTYTTATAACGAGATCCAGTTTAAAAATAATTTCATTCAWGTGACAGCTCTACGCTTCCGTAGCACTGTAAAGCATGAGCATCTAAAACACAAAGCCATAGAGCGGTTATGCGAAACTCTTAAAGCGAATGTTTAGAAATCCTAAATTATTACTAATGCACTTTGTAGAAGATAGCCGATGGATGCTGGAAATTGTTGCACTGACACCCTTCAAGATCTCTTCAGAAACGTTCTTGGTTTCATCTCAAACTCGGATTCCATTGGTGAAGAAGATGCCACCTCTGTTTGTCTGGTTTGTGTCAATTATTTACAGAGACACCAGACCAAAGTACAGAGCTCAGCTGCTCGCAAAACGACCTGATTTAAGCATCTCTAACTTAGAKCAGCTACTCAAGCTGTTCAGTTTTATATTAAAAGCTGAAAACTGAACAACAGTAATGGTAGTGCATCTTCTCTATAAGACTTAAAAATTGCCCCAATTAAATTGCCAAAATCTTTGATAATTAAACTAATCATAATGCAGATTAAATTCTTTTGATGTGCCTCTTTGTAAAATGAAGCACATTTATCAGTGTCAATAGTAATTAAGAAGGAAATAAATATGTGACACACCTCAGGCTTTAGTTAATAAGAGTTTCAGATCATTTGTTCAACTTAAAATGACACAAATTAGTTGCCACATACAATAGATCTTAAAGTTATGGGTTTAACACACCACTTAGATAATCTTGAAGATATTTAGAAATCCATTTATATGAAGTAATGAAATGAAGACATTAATYTATTTTTAAACAGTTGTTAAGGCAGTTTGTAACATTGCACTTGTTTTGGCTACTTTTTCTGCTTCAGCAGTAGTTGATTACAAAACTCTGAAACCTTTTTACATAAAATTTAAATGAAAACATTTGGAACTACTTGTCTACYTCAATTAATGAACATTATTAGATTATCTGTTTTGCATTGGTCGGAATTCTACAAACTAAAGCATTTAAAAACAATGTGTAAAAATGACTTAATGAGAAGTATCGGTTTTATGAGCGGCTCCTCGAGTATTCAGAACCAAATCCAGCACAGCCAAGTGAAATCACATGTTTGTCTTGTGAGTTCTTATTAAACTAATTCATTAGTCAAACAAGAGTGAACTGAACCTGCCGAGAACACATGCACATGCTAGTTTTTTATTTTATTATTTTAACTACATATGATGCTTTTAATTAATATAAAAATCCTGAGAACTTCACCTGTGCAGAGGCGGTACTAGAAGCGGATGCAGGTCCGGACTCCATGCTTTGGAAGATTTCGTACACAGTCTTCGTGGTACTACCGGCCATAATAATGTCAACTCAGTCAGGAAGCAAATCTCGCTCCGTCCACAAAYTTTCAAGCTTAACTTCAGAGTGAAGGTTTTTATTCTAACTTTTGTGAAGTGAAGTGTGATTTCAGTTGAAATTCAGGTCTGTCACAACAACGTGCGAGCTTCGCTTCTGCAGCATCTACTGTCCTCCTACTTCCGGTCGGTGTTGTGCCGAAAAAGTACCCCGTGTGTCACTTTTCCTCATGTAGGTACACACTATGTTTTTTCTTCTTGTGTGTTTTAACGACAGTCAGTATTTTATTTTTTTATATTCTTAATTTTCTAACGTGTATCATATTTATTTACATGTTCACTAAAATTCTAAAAGAAAACGCCTGTTTTAGGAATTTCAAAATTAATTTCTTCTAATCACACCAGTGCCTATAATAGTATTCTGCTAAATTTATTTTAAATTGTTCCCGTTTTATTTATAGTTTAGCAGCTATATCAATTTTAGGAGTTGTAGTCAGATCAATAGATGATCATTTGTCTCTAAATTCATTTTCCATTCAAAACATAATGCTTGTTACTTCTTATGTGTTCTGAAGTACATATTATTATTGACTGAATGAAAGGGGGTGGGGTTTGTTCGGCACAATACAAGTTTTGGGTGCATTTTCGAGCAGTTTTTAGACGCAAAAAATGTAATATTAAGGTTGTTGGAAAACAAAACAAAAATTAAAGATAATTTGAATAAACTAACTTTAAATGTGGCATATTTTCTATTTTTTCTTACATTATAACGTTCAAATTACATAAAATGTAAATGCCTGATACAAACGAACTCTGTATCTGAAATCACAGCCCATGTTTCCGCACGGACGTATTTTGGTAACGTACCAGCAACAAACGACCTGAATTTGGAGGAAGTACAGAGAAACTGGTCCGCCTATTTTAGTTGTGTTTGGTCACTGTTACTATCGGGTGATTTATTTAGGTTACAATACATATGTAARCTTAAACAAATCGTTTCCTAAAGTACAGGATAATAATCTGTAAAATGCCTCGGAGAAAGGTAAGGGAAACGCTTGGGCTACAAGAAAGACACAACGTCATCGCTAATATTAGCAAATTTACAAATTAACATCAAACTACAAGGGATAAAACAAAGGGGGCCTGGGGACTTCAATATGTTTTTAAAGTGTTGTTTCAAAATTGAAGAAGATATTTTCAATAGCTAAAAAAAACGCACTGGTGCTGTCTATTTAGTGCTAAAAGCTAAAGCACTGACTGGCTAATGTTAATTGAGAATAATCATGTTGTCTCCGACATGCTACCTCTTCCATTTAAATGTACTGGTTTGTGTTAGTTTAGGCCGAGCAGCCACCACCTGAAAGGAAACATGGAAAGATAAAGCTGACTACAGTGACATACGTAACGGCCGCTTTAGCTAACCGATGAAACTGGCTGCCTTTTTTTGAGTGCATGCAACGAGAGTCTGCACCAAAACATCCCCTGTGATTGGTCAGATTCATTATAGGCGCTACGTTCATTGGTTCGTCTGATTTGAATCCCGCCTCCTCTTTAATTTAATTGGCTGTATGCAAATTAAATGCGCAGCCCCTTGTTGTGAAGTTGTCAAGATGTTTCTGTGCTGTCTCCACTTTTACTTTTGCTCAGGCATTTTTTATTCCATCCTTGGTTGTATTGGAGAGTTATTTTTTTTAAACAAAAGTAGTTTACTTAATGTATTTATTTACACACGTGTTTGCTACTTGTAGTATTGACAATCTACAATATCCACTATAATAAGCTATTGGACTCATATTTATTTTTGTTTCAGTTTATTCCTTTTATTAATTCTTATCTTACAAAATATTTTTGGCTTCCTAATTAATGGTATTTTCTACGACAGAATATTAGGGCCACACAACAAGATTTTTATA